AAAAAAAAAAAAAAAGTAACTTTTTTTCTACTAAACTAATAAAATGAAACTCACACCGACGGACGATGAAGAGTCGACGACGCCATTGAAAATCTGTGATATCTTAGCTCGGAACCAGGAAAAGAAGGGGTCTTGTGAGGAAGGAAGCTAAATTTAAGTGCCATTTTCTATGTATTTCAACGAAAATTAAAATGAATTAAAAAAAAAATGAAAATTTTTTGTTTGCACTTATTATAAAAAACCCAAATGGATCACCGGAAAATGCAGAAAGGCAATAAATAGAGGCGAGAAAGTGAATGATGCACAGGCCCAGCCCAGGCGCACTTAAATAAGGAAAAAAAAGGCAAAAAGAACAGTAAATTGGAGAAAACGTTTGGCTTTCAAACTCGGTGAATGCTGTTTGACAAAAATAAAATTTCGTTTGGCGGTTGCCAGTTTTGGTACATCAACTTTCTCTTCGTAAATAATAGTCCACTACTAGAATTTTCGTTAGTACAGTAATCCCGAGCAGTTGGATTACGTGATGACGTGAAAAAATTGTAATCCTTCCATGTCAAAGATTTATCCATCCACGTGGTTTCAATCCTTGTTCACGTCATCACATAATCCGGCCCTTCGGGATTACTGTAATAAAATTGGTGAAATTGTAATATAGTTGATCTTTTTTTTTTATTAAAGGAAAATTGATGTATCAAAATTGGACAATGGCCAATTTAGTTAACCAAAATTGAATTTTTGCCCATGGTTTGGATGGAGCCCACAAAAAGACAGGTATTTTTCTTTTTAAATTATAATGTCGTACTTTTTTTTTCCAAAATGATAGATTCATTAAATAAAAACACATAATTTACAGCCGACTCAATAGCCGGAATAGGAGGACTGCCAAAGCAGCCCATAAACCACAAGACGAAAAGAGAAAAATAAAAACTCCCCGCAAGAGAATACACCAGCTCTCCACGAGAGAATAACAACAAATATAAAATATACTACTTTGTTATAAATGTACGACGAGTCGACTCGCATGACGTCTAAGCCGCATCTCACCAGAATTTGTAGGTTTTGGTTTTCTTGGTAAAACTTTATTGTGTATGTTGGTAAAATTACCGTCACCTTCTCTCATAAGGGGACATGTCTAGTGGTTTAATATTTTAATAATAGCTATTTAATAGTTGTTTGCTTTACTTTTTTACCTTTTGATGTTTTTATAATTGCTATTTCATAATTGAATTTATTAATGGATATCATATACTCCCTCCTATTCATTATAAATGTCGTTTTGACTTTTTTGATTCATCCATTTTGTTATGTATCTAGACATATTCATCCATTTTGTTATGTATCTAGACATATTAAATGTCTAGATACATAACAAAATGGATGAATCAAAAAAGTCAAAACGACATTTATAATGAACAGGAGGTAGTACTATAAATGTGTAAACAGATTTGATAGGTGATTGATTGTACTGGCTGTGCAATTGGTACCATTTGTAGTAGATTAGGGGTTAAAATTGGGCTAAGTGTTATATAGCCA